AGTAACTTGCCCGGTCACACAGCAAATAAATGGCAGAATCAGGGTTCAAACCCAGTCCTTTGTGACTCTAAAGAACCTAAGCTCTTTCCAATACACCAATGATTCTCACTTTCAGTGTGTATCAGAATCATTAGGGAGCTTTTACAAAGTACAGATGCCCAAGCTTCAATTCATAGCTGTTGAATGAGAATCTCCAAGGTCAGGACATCTGGGGGTTTTTTGTTATTTGTTTGTTTAAACAACTTCCCAGGCAACCCTGGTATATGCCAAAGTTTGATAACCTCACTACCACACCATGGTGCCTTATCGTCTTATAGAAGTGGTTCTTATTAATGCAATAAAAACTTACAGGTTAATCCTTTACATTTTATGGGAGTTACTAGTGAACTAGCAAAATTCTAACATTTTGTGAATCTGTACATCGGGTATATCTTTTCTGCTTTAATTTACATGCACTTACGTTTAATTGTTCTCAATTTAGAGCTAACTTGCAGAATCCATTGATTTTCTTTTACTCAACACTCTAAAAATTCTCTTAAAAATGTTACAATGTCTGTTTCACTTTAGGATACCAGATATTCCACAGAGATTGCCCTTTAGTTTAAAGGTCTTTACCCTTTTTTCACAAGATAAAAATATTAAGCAAATTTTAGTGGATTACTGGGACTAAATAGTGTAGTTATATGTGAAGAGAGGGACTGAGTAAAATGAATAAAGATCAAAGACTCTCATGATTAGGAAAGATACGACTACCTTCAAAAACCCCCCAGAAAGTAGAGGCCAAACCTCCTGTGGATACTTCTAAAGTGAGGTCACATGGATGACTAGTTGATCGTAAGAGTCCAAGTTCAGGGCCTCTGCATGGTTTCAAAAGCATTATATAAATTAGATGCCCCCGCCCCTCGTCCAATTCCGGCTTCTAATAAAAATGCAGTCCTAGTGTCTGACTACAGAAGTCATACCCAATGAGTTTATCGAAACCAAAAAATTTCTCGTTCTGACTTTCTCATTCTGGTGAATTTTCTTTCTAAGGGTTTAGAAAGTTTCTCTCTTGCCTCTGGGCTACAAGTAACTATCCTGTAAGTAGGATACTCTCATGTTTAAAAGCAAATTAAGAGACGGAAATACTTGTCTATGTAATGTCAAATCAATGGAACACTCCCAAACTTTCCAAGATAAATTTATAGCTTTGTTACAGTTTTAAATGTTTAGATCACCTCCCAGCTGTTATCTTTCAGTGACCACAGAAATGTGCCCTACCCTTGTCAAGAACAAGGTTTCATAAAATGGAAAAGCAGCAATTCCTCTGCTTGAGTTGTGATGATGGCAAGTAGTTACTCAACTCTTTCTCTTCTCAGTCCTATGCAATTGATTGAATAGAGAATCTATGATTTTATACAATGAGAAGGAATATGATAAGCTCTTAGAATTAAAAATAATTAAGTTCTATATTGGTGGGTTTTCAATGAAATTTTTGAAATATGTATTTTTACTCATTTTTATCCTATCTAATTTTCTTACCTTTAATTAATCTCTCACATTAATAAAACAACAAAAAAACTTTCAGAAGAGCTGGAGCCTAACCAGGATCCATTTGCACCATTTTATCTTGTCCTTTAGTCTTGTTATTATTATAAAGAGGGTCAGCTCTGAGCACTTTGAGCTCCCATTGGCAGTTAATACACAGGAAGGGAACACTTTGTGTCCCCTTTTAGCAGTTGCTATCTGCTATCTTTCATCACACCAACATAAAAGAGCTGGTAACCAAACATTTTCAGCAATTAAGCTCCCATTCATAGTTATGTTACTATTCTTACAGGGATTTATTATAATTCAACAAGTGAAATTTGAATCTTTTCAGTGAACTGCATAATGTCAAACATAAAGAGATGAACAAGAATCAAGGAATTTACAAACTGAAGGGAGAAACTTAAGCCCCGAATTTAAGAATAGACGTGCCGGGCGCGGTGGCGCATGCCTGTAATCCTAGCACTCTGGGAGGCCGAGGTGGGCGGATCGTTTGAGCTCAGGAGTTCGAGACCAGCCTGAGCAAGAGCGAGACCCCGTCTCTACTAAAAAAAAATAGAAAGAAATTATCTGGACAACTAAAAATATATAGAAAAAATTAGCCAGGCATGGTGGTGCATGCCTGTAGTCCCAGCTACTCGGGAGGTTGAGGCAGGAGGATTGCTTGAGCCCAGGAGTTTGAGGTTGCTGTGAGCTAGGCTGACGCCACAGCACTCACTGTAGCCAGGGCAACAGAGTGAGACTCTGTCTGAAAAAAAAAAAAAAAAGAATAGACGTGAATTTTCAGAGTCAGTGTTTCCCCACGTATGGTATCTGGACCTGATCCATCTGAAGAACTGGTTAAGAAATACAACTTCCTGGGTTACACACCTAACTTCTGCGTCAGGATCTCTGAGGATGGTGTAAAGAAATAATTTTTAACTAGGTTCCCTGATTTTTCTGTGCCTACAGTTTGAAAACCACTAACGTGAAGAATGTTCTGAGCGGTTATAAAGTGAAGTGAGTCATACACATTTGTTCATCTGCAATTGTCCATGTTAACACTCTAACTGGAGAAATTCTCATTTGCATGCATTAAAATCTGCTGGGAAACTAGATGCGAAATACAAACTCCTTGGTATGCCCCAGTAATTTTTTATTTAGTGGGTATGGGTTGGGGCATGGGAATCTACATTTTTAACACACATGCTAGTGATTCCAATGCAGTTGGCTTTGTGGATAACTCTTCTTTGAAAAGTGCTGGCCAAAACCACTGGCCTGTTGGTTGGCAGTTGTCTGTCATCTCTAGCACTCTGTTCAGGGTGTGGAAATAATTAAAGAGTATTATTTTAGAAGTTATAGCAGTATGGCGAGTTCCTGACAGGGCAAGTCCTATTATTAGGCAAGGCTATGTAGTAAAATGAAATCCTCATTTAGCACTGTGGTTTGAATTGATGCAGCCTATTCATTGATTTATTTCAACTTATCAAAATCAACTACTATCTAGATCAGAAAACTCAGACTTTTAAAAATTGTCCTGTGTTCATTCAGATACAACCTCTTGTTTGAAAACACAAATCAATAGACAAAACATAGATTGGGACATTAGTTCCTAAAATTGTAATTATTTCCTAAAATAGTAATGCTGTAAATGTGTTATCTTGGTGTGTTCAACATTGCACAGGTTGTTTGAAAGTATAATATGCTATAAAAGCATCCTCTGCCTTTTAAAATCATAAAAACCAAAGACAAAAGAAAACCCATGCATGGCAGGTTACATCATATGTAAGGACCCCCCCTGGGAGAAGGGTGGATGCTAAAGTCATCCTCCACTTCCTGTTCTCAGTAGCCAGAAGTCATCACAAGCCAAAGTCAGAGTCCATAGAACCCTAAATAAATTTCAGTGCATGAAATCTATAATGCAGACTCAAAACTAGCCTTCTACAAATCCAATTATCAAAAAAGAGAGAAATTGTATAAATTTTTGATAAGCTTATCCAAAAATATTCAACGTATGTTGTACAATTAACATGATCTATCAGGAGGGATAACATCTGGTTTAGAAAGCAAACATTTATAGCATACTTGTGATTGATTGAAATTAGAAGCAATGTTAAAGATCTTTCTGGAAGAGACAGAATGACCTCTTTGTTGAGAATGTGCCTAGGACACTTTATCAACCTTATCAATCCCAGATGTCAAAGAAGCATTGAGGATTGACCTAACTTCCAAACTATTTTCAGAATTGCAGTAACACCCACTGAAAGGCTGACCCTACAGTGCAGGAAAATGGTAGACAGAGGTATGTTAACTTGCCAGACCAATAATGTGAATTTAATTCCTTTCTCTAGTCATCTCCATTAAATTCCCAGGGTGGCCCCTGAACATGGTCTTACCTGATACAAATAAGTCATGATCTCTCTGACTACCTGAGATCAACTTTTTGTTACCCAATAAAAAAGCCTGGGGTGGTCTCTAATGGAGAGAAGCCTGCTACTCAGGATCAAGGAGTAGATGAAAGCCCTGTTTTGTGGTTTAGGGGGGAAAAGGGGGCTGTCTCTGCTACTATATTATGATTAAAACCACAGACTCATTTTCTCTGCTTTTAACCTTTCTAAACATTTAGTTTTACTTTTCTTTTCTTCACTGTTAACATACCATACCAACACCACAATAAAATTCCATTCAATCAAAATAGGTTGGAACCAATCACATTTTCTGAGAAAATGGGAAATACCAATTGAATCTAAGAATTTCTGTGTGGTGGGGAAAGTAGAGACTCTATCTTATTTGAATAATTGTAATAAAAGTTAAAACTGCCGGTCCTCTTTTCTTTTTCCTTTATAAATAAATTGGAATATCAAAAAAATCAGTTATCCCATAAAAAGTACATGAGCTCATATAATTCTCTTACTAGACAATAACTGCCAGCTGTATTAAAATGAGATTACATAAAAATTATATTTGTCTCACTCGTTATAAATCTGCTTGATTTGTTAATTTCTAATTATGTTTGTGCTGCTAAGACATTTTGTTAATCTGGGCCGGTTAACCAAGTTGTTGGTCATTCTGCTGGTAATTTGTGAAGGCTGGTAATTTTGCATTGAAAACAATTATTTCCCAGCCAAAAATGGAAACTATCACCATGTGTAAACATAAGCCTGCCTTAAAGGGTAACAGAATATGAAGGCAGGATGTGGATGACTTACTATCACTTTTTCTCCTCAAAGGAAAAGTTCAAAATAAACACCTTACTTGTTATTGGAACTGACTTTTTCAAATATTTCCCAAGTTACAATGAGCAGGAATTACACTAAACTGACTGAACTGCATGAAATAAAGCAGATGGCTCTTGAGTAAATGCCTTCTTTAAGTAATATTATTACAACTAAAACCAGTTTTTAAGTATAATGAATTGGGTCAGTACAAACAAGAACAATGTGATGATGATGATGATCTTTGTATATTGACCTATTAATATATTTATGTTTCAGCTGTTTGAGAAAGTCAAAGAAGTTTGTCCAAATGTGCATGAGAAGATCAGAGCTATTTATGCGGATCTCAATCAGAATGACTTTGCCATGAGTGAGGAGGACATGCAGGAGCTTCTTTCCTGCACAAACATTGTCTTCCACTGTGCCGCCACTGTACGCTTTGATGACCCGCTGAGGTATGTTCCCATTTCCCTCTTGTGACTTGTATACTTGTTTGTGTGCATGGGCACATATACGTGTAACTTTCTTTATGGTTTCTGTAAAAAAAAATAAAGTCCTCAACGAAAAAAAAAAACACAAAGAAACAAAACTTCACCAAAATCCCACCATCCAGAAACAATTTTTAATATTGCAGAGAACATCTATTCCAATTTTCTTTATGCATCTATGATTATATAGATATATGCTCAATTTTATAAACAAAAAAGGCATCCTATTGAGAATGTTTTGTAACCTCAATTATATTTTTGGATATCTTTCATTGTCAATAAATATTACAGTTTATAATGATGATATTCCATTGTACATGTACATGTATATAATATATTCAACTAGTTCTGTGTTGGTGGACATTTGGATTGTTTTAATTTTTCACTATTATAAAAACTCTGCAGTGAACAGGCCTGTGCGTAAATTTTTTTGTTCCTTTGTATGTTGTTCTTGGGGTAAATTCCAAGAAGTAAGAACTGTCAGATGCATATCAGATGTGTCTGGGGTATGAACAGTTTACATTTTTACATGTACTGGTAAATTGCTCTTCAAAAAGGTATAAATTTATACTGTCCCTGTGCACATAAATGCTCATTTTTTTTTACACTCACAACAAAATGTCTTAGAAGTCTTTAATTCTTTTTTAATTTGCCAATATGATAGTAGAAATGGTATTGCATGTTCTGATTTTTATTTCTTTAATGATTACAAAGGTTACTGCTATTTAAATGCTTATTGGCATCTTATTCTTTTGTGAAATGTGTTTTACCATTCTTTGCCCATTTTTTATTGAAACATTTTTTCTTATTAATTTTAAGACTTCCTAGAAGATTCGGCAAATTTATTCTTTGTTTTTATAAGGTTCAAAATGTTTTAACAATTTATGTCTTTCAATTCTTTTTATATAGTAATTTATAATTTCTTCAGGTATTTTTATGGTTTAATTTTTACATTTAGATCTTTGATCCATTTAAAATTTATTTAGCTATAAAGAGGAATATCAGGAAAGTTCTATTAAAAAAGAGTGATGTTGGTGTGAAAGTAGAGTAGGTTTATTACTCTTTCTAGCAGATGATTAGTTCTTAAAAATATTTATTAAATGATTTACTCTATTTGAAAAGAAATTATTACACTGAATTCCAATTTTTAAACTTTTTATTTTCTTCCTTTAATCAGACTTTCTCTGCCAATACCACACCATTTTAATTACTGTAATTTTTATTCTATTAGGGCAAGTATACCCACAGCACTCTTATTTTTATAAAATTTTCCAATTATCACCTACTTATACTTCTTAATTAAATTTAGAATAATTTGGTCAAGTTTTTAAAAATTTTGGGAGTTTGATTAGAATTACCTTGTATGTGTAGGTTAATTTAGAAAAACTTAATATTTAAAATATTAATTACTCCTATCCACAAACAACATATGTGTTTCCATTTATTTGATTTCTCTATTCTGACACATAATGAAGTTTTATCACTTTCTTTACATATTCATTTATGATTAATTTGACATATTTTTAAAGGTTCAAGTTCGAATGTATGCCTTTCCTCCATTGTATTCTCTAATTTTTGTTTATATATAGGAAAGTGATTTTTTAAATGTAATTTTCGTAAATGTATACCTCACTGAATTATCTTATTGTCCATCCTAGCTTTTTTTCTAGAGCTGCTTCTGTTTGTTTTACAGGTATACAATTATATAATCTGATAGTGATTTTGTAACTGTCTTTTTAATATTTTTGTCTGTTCATTAATTTCATTTTCCTCTCTCATGACAAGGCTGGTACTTCAGAGCACTGTTAAGTACCGGTAGTGATGGTAGGCATTCTTCCTAGCCCTGACTTTACAAGCAGTGCTCCTAGCTTTTCACTATTAAGCATGACATTGGCTAGCAAATTGAAATATATATTGTTTAATCATTTCATTCATATTTTAGCAAATTTCTTTAATTAAATTAGAAATGGATATTAAATTTTATTTAAAATTTTTTCAAAATATACATAAATGGTCATATAGTTTTTCTCTTTTTGAGTTAAACTAGATCAGTAGGTTTCCTTACATTGGATAAAATGTGTATTCCTGGAATGAACTATTTCATTGTCATCACACACTGTGTTTCTATAGCTTTGTATTCTAGTAGCTACAATTTAGAATTTTGACATCAATTTTCATGTCTGACCTGGACCTTTACAATAATAGCAACTTATATCACAAATCCACTGTTGCTCCCCTCCAATTTATTTGCATTTCCCAACTTCTTGAGTAAGATGCTTAATTTTTTATTTTTGTTGTTTTAATGGCTGCTTATAGAAACCCCTTTATAAATGAATTCAAAGGATTGTGATTTTTTTCCTTCCAGTTGATTAGAACTAAGTGATCTCCAAATACAATACATACAGCGCTTCAGTCAATAGGATTTATGTACACAGAGTACATCATTAATATATAACACATTCTGAGTATCACGTAACTGTATAGCCACAACCCGTCGTTTTCTTCCTGCTCCTTTGATACAGCCACCAAAATCTGATAAGACATGCCAGTGGGTGCAGTTACAGCGAGACTGGGTGCCAGCTCACCTCATTGTATTTCCTTCTGCTTAATCTTCTCTAGACACGCCGTGCAGCTTAACGTCACTGCCACCCAGCAGCTCCTGCTTATGGCTAGTCAGATGCCAAAGCTCGAAGCCTTCGTACATATCTCTACTGCCTTTTCTAATTGTAACCTGAAGCACATCGACGAAGTCATCTATCCATGCCCTGTGGAACCCAAAAAAATCATCGACTCCATGGAGTAAGTCGGGTCAAATGAAGGGATGGGGGGAAGGGGGTGGCTTGGCGTTCTCTTTGATTTTTGTAGTCATCCAGTAAGGAGGTAACAAAGTGGGATGCCCTTGCAACAAAATGCTTTGCAAAGGTGCTGGCTTCAGTTCCCCTGGCCCTGCTAGTGCCTTCCTCACGCAGTGGGGAAGAAAATTCTTAAAGCAAATTTTGCTAGGCAAGGGCAACATACGTAACCTAAACATCTGTACCCCCATAATATGCTGAAATAAAAAAAAGAAAAAAAGTTTTGCTAAATAGCTCGGGATTGCATGGGGTACTTGGGAATACTATACATAGAAAGTGGTTTCTCATTTCTTAATGAATTCAGCATTATCACTAGATAAAGGAAGTAT